GCTGACCCTTCCGGATTGAGCGCAGTTTATCATTAACGTGCTTAAATGCTCAAATAACCCTACAGTACAAGCCTCACAAACGGGCTACAAAACTGATCGTAACGATCCTGACTGATATAAATGCCTGTAACAACAATATATCTATCAACAACAAACGGGGGGGTTGGATCACATCTTGTCTGGGGGGATGATTTCTACTGATTTTCTACTTTTTTACTGTTTTTGGTTTTTTCGGCAATTTTTTATGTTTTTTTGTTTTTCTTGGGTACTATATTACTTTTTGTTTGGTTTTATATATATCTTTTAGTGTTTTTGGTCACGAACCTCTCAGGGAACGAGGGAATGGCCGATCCCCCCACCCTTCCTGGTTCGTGAATTTTCGGTCTTAACTAAGTTAAAAAGCTATTCACGGTAATCCGGAGGGCTTCCGCGCTCCGAACCACCCCTCCGCCCCGGCGGTTTAGGCCTAATAAGGGCGTTAATGTGAGCATCCGCTCGGCGCGGAGTGCTCGTTAACGGTTCTGCCGGTCATGATGCTAAAAAGAATAACACCCAGGAGCGCCATAAAAACATGTATGTAACATTCGCCCGGAAGATACATATCGACGGAAAACAAAACAAAGTCTTAAGACGACTGACTAACGTCTAAACAGAGGTTTGCATGCTTTTCACCGTCTCTACCAAGCCAGTACTTTTCGGTGGTCTTTTCTAACATCGGGTCGACAAAAACGTTACTGCTTTCGGCTTCGGTCAAAACACTCAAATTAACTTAATTACATGCAACTAGTGAGCTCATGGCTGGGTCTCAGTATCCCCAGACCACGAGGTCACTCCTAAAAACAGGGTTACTACTTATTATATTACTATTGTTTTCGTTCAGTAGATAAAAAATCATCATCTCCATCGAAGATGGATCAACCCTCTCCCCCCCAACTCCTAGCTTCTCATCCTTATCAAAATGAATCTAGATATTAATTAAACTCAAGTCAGGACCTACCTTTTGGTAGGGGTATAAGGGCTCTTCTAAAAGAAATTTATAAAACGTGAAGGGTGTACCCTTCCAAATTGAGGAATTTGCTAAAAACAATCTCAAAAAATTTTCACGCTTCCTTTTCCGAAAAACTTTTGTCCCTATCAGTAAGCTCAGCTAATTTCTGATCTATTGGTACCAAGATCTACTCGATATGCCCAGTAGTTTCAAAGTTATTAACCAAAACGTCTTTTTTCTAAACTCAAAAAATTTTTCTCTCTTATAGGTTCCGCCTAACTTTTTCCGCAAATCAGGTCCTTTCGACCTAAAAATTATTGATCCGAGCTCAAAAGGCCTATACTCTTCTAGTTCAATGCAAAAGACCCGATCAAAAACGCTTTTGTAGAAAAAATTTGCAAAAAAAACTATGCTACCTGTACCCCTCCGGATTGATGAATCCACCAAATCAAACACGTTAAGTTCGATTTCTCTGCAACCCGGAAGGCTTTCGGGTAGCGGGTTTTAAAACTTGTAGATTCACTAGTGGACGTTGTCCGAACAACTATTTCTACTGTCGGAACTCAAAAATTTCAAAAAATTTTCCAAATTTTTAGTGTTCCGTTTTCTCAAAAATCACGAAATTTCGATTTTCGGTACCAAAATAGTTCCAACCACTCTCGAACTTAACTTAACCGGTTCTATCTATTATGGTAGTGCAGTTACGATGTAACACACTAACTTAGCGCTTTTTTCCGTTTCAAAAAATATCGATATTTCAAAAATCGCGACTTGTGGGGGATCAAAATATCGCTATTTTGACCCTAAAAACCGGTCTGTTTTCGTTGTTTTTGACTGAAAAACGATATAAGACTATTAATATAGGCTATATAAGTAATAATATTAGTAATACTATACCCCTCCGGGTTTCCTTAATCTCCAAATTAAGGTGCTTAACTCGGATATTCGCAGTTCGGTGAAGGGTCACTACAGTGCAGCACTGTCGAGCCCCCCACAGTTTACTATCTTAATTTTTGTACCGAAAGGGCTACAAAACTTGTTAACGATACCCAACAGTCGATTGTTGTCGTCGTTGAGCCTCTTTGTTGCTCCTTGTGCTGCTTGCCGGATCGGTCTTCACCCAAGACCCTTCCGAGTTGAGCGCAGTTTATCATTAACGTGCTTAAATGCTCAAATAACCCTACAGTACAAGCCTCACAAACGGGCTACAAAACTGATCGTAACGATCCTGACTGATATAAATGCCTGTAACAACAATATATCTATCAACAACAAACGGGGGGGTTGGATCACATCTTGTCTGGGGGGATGATTTCTACTGATTTTCTACTTTTTTACTGTTTTTGGTTTTTTCGGCAATTTTTTATGTTTTTTTGTTTTTCTTGGGTACTATATTACTTTTTGTTTGGTTTTATATATATCTTTTAGTGTTTTTGGTCACGAACCTCTCAGGGAACGAGGGAATGGCCGATCCCCCCACCCTTCCTGGTTCGTGAATTTTCGGTCTTAACTAAGTTAAAAAGCTATTCACGGTAATCCGGAGGGCTTCCGCGCTCCGAACCACCCCTCCGCCCCGGCGGTTTAGGCCTAATAAGGGCGTTAATGTGAGCATCCGCTCGGCGCGGAGTGCTCGTTAACGGTTCTGCCGGTCATGATGCTAAAAAGAATAACACCCAGGAGCGCCATAAAAACATGTATGTAACATTCGCCCGGAAGATACATATCGACGGAAAACAAAACAAAGTCTTAAGACGACTGACTAACGTCTAAACAGAGGTTTGCATGCTTTTCACCGTCTCTACCAAGCCAGTACTTTTCGGTGGTCTTTTCTAACATCGGGTCGACAAAAACGTTACTGCTTTCGGCTTCGGTCAAAACACTCAAATTAACTTAATTACATGCAACTGGTGAGCTCATGGCTGGGTCTCAGTATCCCCAGACCACGAGGTCACTCCTAAAAACAGGGTTACTACTTATTATATTACTATTGTTTTCGTTCAGTAGATAAAAAATCATCATCTCCATCGAAGATGGATCAACCCTCTCCCCCCCAACTCCTAGCTTCTCATCCTTATCAAAATGAATCTAGATATTAATTAAACTCAAGTCAGGACCTACTTTTTGGTAGGGGTATAAGGGCTCTTCTAAAAGAAATTTATAAAACGTGAAGGGTGTACCCTTCCAAATTGAGGAATTTGCTAAAAACAATCTCAAAAAATTTTCACGCTTCCTTTTCCGAAAAACTTTTGTCCCTATCAGTAAGCTCAGCTAATTTCTGATCTATTGGTACCAAGATCTACTCGATATGCCCAGTAGTTTCAAAGTTATTAACCAAAACGTCTTTTTTCTAAACTCAAAAAATTTTTCTCTCTTATAGGTTCCGCCTAACTTTTTCCGCAAATCAGGTCCTTTCGACCTAAAAATTATTGATCCGAGCTCAAAAGGCCTATACTCTTCTAGTTCAATGCAAAAGACCCGATCAAAAACGCTTTTGTAGAAAAAATTTGCAAAAAAACTATGCTACCTGTACCCTTCCGGATTGACGAATCCACTGAATCAATCTCGTTAATCTTGATTTCCTCCTATTTCGGAAGGCTGTCTCTTACCCTTCACCGTTGTTCGCAACGGCCTTGCAACTATTGTAGCAGCACAATAGTTGCAACTCGGAACGTCCTCTGCTATTCTGTAGTTCGTTGTCGTTTTTAATCTCGATTTTCGTCCTGTTCGCTATCGCAGATAAAGTTGTTCTCTTTTTCTTTCTCGTTTTAGTCAAAATGGCCGTTTCTGACGTTTCTCAGAAATATGACGTCATAATTCGAATTTTTGAAATTTTAAAATACCAGAATATTCTAGCCCTCACCGTTTTTCCAATCGTTCCAATAACGTTCTTAGTTCGTAATAACCACCAATCCGGAAGGCTTACTGCTAAAAATTCAAAGTCTGCACAATTTGCATTTTGGCCATTCTGGTCGAATGCCACACAGGCTAGATGTTCTTTTCTGGTCGATAAAAATTCGAATACGAAATTGCGTTTTCGTACATTCTGGTCGAATGTCACAGTAGATTTTTCTGGATTTAGAAAAAACCAATATTCCAAATGATTTTTACACAAGCAAAGCTTGTGTTAAAGCATGAATTTTCTTTCTTTTCCAACCTAAGTCGCTAATATTGTTGCGACAGAATGTGTTCGTTTTGAAAGTGCTCATTTTGATCAATAACCAGCTATTAAGTACAGCCAATGCTAAGGATATTAACACACTGTTATTTTAGAATTAGTACTTAAGCTTCAAGGTATCGTGGATCTGTGGCGTAGAGGTAGGGAAGGAGACCCGCAACAAAATTAGAGGGTTGAACCTGGCCAGGGTCGGATGTTAAAATGAATTTTTTTCGTTAGCTAGTTTAATTGAGTCCGCTCTATAAATTGCGACATGTTAATTGGTATTTTTTTTTTTCAATTTGACTTGTACTGCTTATGCGGCATAATTGGTTTGCGAAGAAATTTTGTAGACTCAAGTCTTAACTCATTCAGTTTTTCTCAGTTGCGTTTCCGGTCATATTTTTGCTTGTGTATGCAAAGTGCAACTTCGTCTCTGTGTTGGAACTTTTTAAGCTACTTGCACAGCGGCGGGCTACTCTCTTTTTGTGGATTTTGGTAATATTAATTTTGGTGCTTATTCCTTAGTTTAAGATGCAGCAGGTGTCATTTTTCGTCTAATGTAATTTTGAGCTAAATTTCATCAACTTGGGCTTTGTATAGTTCTGGCGTTTACTGATTATTTTAATTTTCGGGTTTTGGCTATCTATATTTTTTAAATCGTCAATCTCAAAGTGGATGTTGACATTTACCCTGAATGGTACTGCTAAACGGATTTTGAGATGCTAGAGTCGGCCAAGGTTAAAAATATATGGCTTTGAGTTTGGGCTTAATTTCCTGAGAGATAGTTCTTTACTCTGCAGATTATCGTTTTCACTCACGTAGATGTGATTAGCTTTGTGCTATGTTTTCAGACCCGATTGTTGGATCTCAGGCTGATTATGAAAGGATTGTTGTTCTCTAAGAAATGAGCTACGATGTCATCAATTTATGCAAATCAATTTTGACTGAGAACTTTGGCCCAGTTGCTGCCCTGATTGGGTGTACTTTGCTAGACAGCGGTCCCCTCACCCTCCCTCAAATCTGCAGCTTCTCCAAAGTTCGCAACCCAAGGAAGTATCTATCCGTCCTGGTACGACATGGAATCGTCTCGTGGGACAACAGCGACTTCCGAGGCATCAAGTAAGTAATACATCATCCTTTGTCTGATTCTGCACAACTCATTGCAGATATCTACCAGTTTGTACAACTAATTGTTATCTACGAGATGGAGAGAAATATAAAGAAATGTTTTCTGCCAAAGTTTTCCCTGAAAATTGTGGAAGCAAAAACTAACTAATCAGCAGGCTGCTGCCAGGGACTTAAAATTGGTCTGAACCTTGAAATCAGTAATTTTGAGTCAATCGTTGAGCCAGTTTTTTCTCCCAATCAGATATCGGGTAGGTTTTATCTTAAGAAAGATGGGTCTGGGTCTAAGAAAGTACTAAGTAACAAGAACAAACAGTAAGAATAGGCAGAAAAAAATATGTACGTTTTTCACAATGTGTAATCATTTTAAATTATTAAAAATGACAATACTGAACTAGCAAAATTGAAAAAATACTTGGGAATTATGCCAGTTTGATGATATCTATTGTGTTGACCAGGTATACGGCACATGAGAACACTATCTTGTGTCGTCTGCGAGTGGCTTCACTGGTTCGAGCAGTGGGCAAGGACAGGGGCCAGTTGAGTGAGTTGATCTGTGAGGAAATGCTATTACATGGGGCAGTGACGGAGACAGGTCTGATAGAAAGTGTCACTCAGAGAGCTATGGCCAATGTGGAACCAGGACAGAATGTGACTGAGGCTTCTATCATCAATCAGGTATATAGATATAATTGAAGGACGAGGGTCAAAAATTTAAGCGCGAAATGCTGTTGAACAAAAACAGTTGGAAGTCAAACAGTATAGGGGCAGTTAAAAATCCCTTGTAAAACTGGCATTTTATTAATTAAGAGTTGATAAACAAGGAATTTAGCAAGTTCATTAAAAAAGAACTATTCAGTATTTTTTTTTCTGTTTACTTGTGTTCATTGACTCTTTTCCAGCTGTGTTGGCTATATTTAAAATGGTCAATTAATTTTTTTTTGCTGAACAATTAATAAAGTGCTGATTACTAATGAGGTGAATATGAAGTTGCAAATTGGGATCGAAGGTAAGTTAATAATTATCCTCTTGCCAATCTATTATCCGCTAGTCAATAATTATCCGCCGAGGCATGCCAAGATCCACGTGAAGTTGATTGAGGGCGAGGCAACATAAACCAATCCAGAAAAATAAGCAGTAAAGTTACATGAAAAGAAGGGGAGCAACATGGGCTCTCCATAAACAGCTGAAAATCTCGTATGTTGATCTTTTCCCTCGTGAGTAAATTGTCCTTACCATTATACGAGGAGAGCTAACTACGTGATTTGGAATTAAATAATACAAAGGGGGAACCATGTGGGTCGGCAAGGAGTCGAATCCCTGAGGGGGAATCCCCCTCCCTAAATCCGCTGGTACTAGAATCCACAGACAAAGTTTTGATCGCTTTGACGAATGGGGCTACGAAAAAGAGCAAAATGACTCTGGATTCCTGTGAAAAAGCTGTAATCTTATGGAATTCGCTTCACCGGTCTAAACGCGTTCGTCTCTGAATCTCAGAGCAATCAATAATTTGTCATCAGTTTTTTTTTTGTAGGAATCAGGTGTCTCTGAATTCCAGCTACATTAGCCTCTAAAACACGCAAAAGATATATCAGTGAATCAGGAAGCGAGCGAGCACATTTCCCCCTTCTGTTATAAAACCGACTTTATGTCTCGTAGTAAGTAGTGAATGTTGTAGTTTTAGCTTGGGCTGTTTAGGTGAAGAGCAGTTTCAAACAGCTGTCCAAGGATAATTTTGTGCGTATGATGATACCACCTGAGCAGGAGTTGGACAATGAAGACAAAGAGAAACATGGTATGACCAATGGTGGAAACAGTGGGACGCCAAACGGAAAGAGTGGTTCAATACCTTCTCTTTGGAAAGTGAATCTTATCAGACTTCAGAGGTGCTTACTCAACCATGTGAGTAGATCCGGGTGACTATTTAAAGTTTGAGAGAGGAAAGTCGGAGAGAAAGTTCTTCGCTCTCAGAACTTTGACACTTTTTGCTTTACAAGAATTGTATCTGCAAAAACGATATTTTTTAATTTTTGCACAAGCGGAGCGTAAGAGTTTCCTTGTTGTTTTTTTCCCCGCGAATGCACGTTTTCCCTCAGTGTCGAACAGAAATAAATTTGAAATTAACTGAATAGTTTTTGAATTTGACTAACATCAAAGCAGGATATTAGACTTGGAAAGTTCTCTGGTTTAATTGTCAAAATAGACTTGTGAAGATGAAGTAGTAGGAGGCACAATCTCTGGCCATTTTTTCCAAGGAAGCTGTATTTTTAATGAAATGTTCTTTCTTCAATTCATTCGGATAATTTTCAAGACTCATGAACGTAGTGAATACCCTTTTATACGTCATGATGCTTGTTGTCGTTTTTTTTTCACGGAAAAGTCTTCAAATTTGTTGAAGCTCAGATTAAATTTTTCGCGGTTTGACTTTGATATATTTTAAAGTTCAGTGTTTCCGTAGTTGAAATTTTCAAAAAACAAGTCAGTAATTTTTTTTCCTCGCGTTCTTTGTTTCTTCGCCAACTGTCTGTCGGCAACTGTTTCTTAGAATTTGCTTGGAAAAAAATGAAACAAATTCTAAGTTTTTTTTAAGAATATGGTCGGAACATTATGTGCTACTTGAACAGTAAACGGCTATTCTTGTTGACTATTACCTGTTGCTATTATCCTGTGAACCATGGCTTTTTTTCTTCAAAAGGAACGCAATGTTCTGGATAATTGTTCTTTCCTCTCATTTCAGTCCGTGCTTGAAGCAGTGCAGCGGCGTTTCGGAGGCTGTCCGAAGATGAACGAGGTATTGCGCACCATCATTGACCTGATAGAAGACTCTGAATTGAAAAGTGGTTATGCCGACTCAGATCAAGGCTGCGACTTTCAAATAGTGAACGCAGAAAGTGTCTCCATCAACGTGACTTCTATCAACCAAAGTCTCAAGTAAGTTTTATTCTTGCCAGGTCAGCAACTTAAATCTGGTCTTTTTTCATGACTTCATAGCGATTCTAATGACAAAGTAGCCTCTTTTTGCGCGTGTTAAATTAGTTTCCTGGATGCAGCTGAATCAAGTTGTAAGACAGCTACTCGGCATCTTGGTATTTGGATCAAAGAAGTAACAATTGAAACGGGCAAAGCTCAATAATCTCTGTTCTATTCTAGACATTTTGACAAGACAGTCGTGAACAATTTGCTGGGCATGCTTGCCAATGACCGTGAAAACACTGGCTTCATTAAGCGAGTGGGTGAGGCGGGAGGAGGTCAGTATGTGTTGGATTGGTACATGGCACTCAAGAAGTTCACGACATCTATAGTCGAGAGTGTTATCCGAGAGAGATTCGGAGGGGAGAGTGTGCGAATATTTAACGTGCTGCTTGCCAAAGGTTACATAAACTATTAATTACTTCGAAGCATAGCCGGGAATCATTGTAGTTTCATTTTAAAGATTGTCTAAATTTAATTGATTTGATTGTCAAAGTTGAATAAATTAAAAAATGATTACTTTATCATAAAAATTTGTACTACCTATTTAATGTTTTATGTAATATTTATGTAATGTTTTAAAACACGTAAAATTTAATGTTGTGAAATTTTGATGTGTTAAACGTTGTTCAGGCTTCTCGGAACAAAGCGACGTAGAGAAGTTGAGTCTCCTGACTGGGAAGGATGTGAAGCAGCAACTGTATACCATGCTAGGAGACGGGTTCCTAACTCTGGCTGAGATACCTAGAGTGGGTGCGGACTATGCACCCGCAAGGACCAGTTACTTCTACTCTGTGGATCTTCATAGAGTGGCCAACGTTGTGACGGGGTCTTGCGTACAGACTATGTGTAACTTGATGCAGAGAAGGAACCACGAAGTTGAAAAGCAACAGAACCTCCTCGATAAGAATGACAGATTGGAGAACCTGAAGGATTCTATGCGATCTAAAGTAAGTTCAGATCAATTATTGGGTTAACTTTTCCTTCGAGGCAATTAGTGTAAGTTCATCGGAACCCATTATTTGATTCGCCGGATCAACCGTACAATCTCCCCCTCTAAGTGACCTACAGTAGAATGCCCATCCAAGCATCTGTTAATTCTGAAAATCAATTCTGTATCAGATATGCATTTCATATAAACGCGCAAATTATAATCAGTTTTAAATTATTATGCAATTCCATTCTATTTTGATAGGCTAAAAAAAGCAGTATGTCCAGATAATTACACTTGCGAACGTAGTGAGTACGAAATTTTTTCCAAGCGAACTCGCAAATCGAAATTCAGAGCGAACTCGCAAATCGAATAAAAGTCGCAGATCGAATCAGAGATGTAAGCGAATTTTTTTGATTCGAGGCTCATTTCTGTTTTCTTATTGCACTTTGTCGGGCTGCTTTCTCGTGATCTGGCTTGTGTTGCGAAGCGCAGCTTCGCATCTGTGTTTAGTCTTGTTAGTACGGTGAATACACTCGCTAGCTTTAGAGAGCCTAGTGTCATAGTACGAGTATTCTTAGTTTTCCAACCCAAGTCGCAAATATTGGGTGCCCTTTTTGAGGTTACATCTAGGGCTGTTTCATAGCATTTGCTTTGACATTCGATTACTCATAAGATTTCGAAGTTTCAGCAAGACTTTGAAGGATTCAGTAAAATCCTTAATCCATTGTTTTTCCCGCAAGTGTAAATCGTTTTTTTTTCCGCTTGTGCAATAAATATCTATTGAAAAATCATTGGTCAGAATATTTCATATTATTTCATACAATAGCAAATGTCAGTAGTCTGGACGTATGCGTTTTCCCGTTAACCTTTTTGCTACAAAATTTTAAAAACGTTGAGCTTGCTTTCTAAGAATCTTTGTTTAAATTAAGCATTTGCGCACTTCGTTTAGTTGTGAAGTAGCTGCTTAAGGTTCAAAGGCCTGGGGTCTGAGCCACGGTACGACCTTAATTTGTCGCTCGGTGTTTTAGGTCTTTATATTTTTTGTTACATTGATTTTCGTCTTATTTTTTTCGGCGCTTCGATGTTGTATCAAATAATCCGTATAATATCACCTTAATGTTACTAAGAGTAAAGAAGGTAGTGAACTGGTAGTGAAGGTAGAAGGTTATGTAGGTCTTCAGGATTTTTTTACTATTATCTTTATATGCACCACATTGATATGACTGATACTAACTACCAACCTAATTTTTATGAGCTTATTGTAAGAATATCAATCAGAAGTCACTTCTCAGTTCTTCCATTTGTGCTACTTTAAGAAGAGTGCAATCGTTGGATTACCGATTTATGCATCGGAACCCATTATTTGTTTCGCCGGATCAACCGTACAATCTCCCCCTCTAAGTGACCTACCGTAGAATGCCCATCCAAGCATCTGTTAATACTGAAAATCAATTCTGTATCAGATATGCATTTCATATAAACGCGCAAATTATAATCAGTTTTAAATTATTATGCAATTCCATTCTATTTTGATAGGCTACAAAAGCAGTATGTCCAGATAATTACACTTGCGCACGTAGTGAGTACGAAATTTTTTCCAAGCTAACTCGCAAATAAAAGTGTTCATAAAGTGTTTTTTTTTATTTGGTGGCACTTTTGGTTTAAGCACGATCTGTAGCATAGGAAATTTCCTAGAATCTGTTCTCTGCTTTATTTGTGACTAGTGTTTGTGATTTATTAAGTGTCTGTTTGAGAGGTTAGTGCGTGAGACTGATTAGCTCCAAGTCGCAGATCGAATCAGAGATTTAAGCGATTTTTTTTTCGAGGCTCATTTCTGTTTTCTTATTGCACTTTGTCGGGCTGCTTTCTCGTGATCTGACCAGTGTTTGCGAAGCGCAGCTTCGCATCTGTGTTTAATCTTGTTGGTACGGTGAATAAAATCGCTAGCTTTAGAGAGCCTAGTGTCATAGTATGAGTATTCTTAGTTTTCCAACCTAAGTCGCAAATTTTAGGTGCCATATTTGGGGTTACCTCTAGGGCTTTTTCATAGCATTTGACTTCGATGTTTCAGCAAGACTTTGAAGGATTCAGTAAAATCCTAAATCCATTGTTTTTCACGTCATTGTTATTTTCTTTTAACGTTGATCCTATCAATGTTTTCAGGGAGGCCGGTTCTTGGCTTGCTGATGGCTGTTGGGTTTGTTTTTGCTTAGTTCCCACTTGCATTATTGGTATCGAGTTAACAAATTTTGTAGTCAGTGCGCTGGCTCTTGCTCGGATTGATGCCCTCGTCGACGGATGTGTTTTCTTTATCAATTTTCTTGTTGCTGTGGTTGGCGCTTCGAAGTCTGAAGTTGAGGATGCGGGGATATCAAACTGTATTCCTCGTGTTCGTTTACCCTGTTGTCGTGTTGTGGTGATCGTCTGCCCGGGCTGTTTTCCGCCGCTGGTGCCGTGTGCCGTCGTTTCATTGTTTGTGTCGAGTTTCTTTGTGTTATTGCTGTCTTAGCTGGCTTTTTGTCTGTGCCCATTTTCTTAAACTGCCCCACCTCTGTTTCTACGAACATGGACTGCCTGCCTCGGGGTTTCCTATTCTAAAAACCAGTAGCTCTTGTTGTACCTTGCGCACTTAGAAGCTACGCAGTCACTTAGTTCAGTTGGTGTACAGTTAACACATATTTACAATTTTCGGATGAATGCGAAGCCACTGTTCGTAATAGTCAAGGTTGTTTCCCGAAGGTCTGGACCCACGCCGTATGGGGTGTAAATGTTAGGAATTTTCCCTCTTGTGTTTTGTATTTCTGTTGAAATTGTATGGGGTCCTGTACCTTTCGTGCTACCATCACCGTTTTTCGTGCTACCCTCACCGTTTTTCGTGCTACCTGTCGAATCTTTTGCTTTATTTTTTTGCCTGGTTACCCCTTTTAGCTTATTTTGGATGCCTGGTTTCAATTGCTTATTCTGTGCAGCTTTTTCCTCCGTCATGTCAATGACAAACACTAACGAACCGGACGATTCTAACTTTCCTCAGGTTTCAAATTTGATTTTGTTGGTTCCTTGATAGAACTCAGAATTGCATTTATATAAAATAATACAAAACAGATATAAATATATAATCCGGACGGATAACATTTCCCCGGTTGTCGCAAAATTAGTTTTAGTTTCTGTTACTGAGTTTATTCTCCTCATACATCCCTTTGTCTCTCCTTTTCCGTATTTCATTGTTGTTCTCTTTTCTGTGTCTCGTCTCCATTGTGCTTCTTATTGTCGCCCTCTTTTTTGGTTGTTTTTCGTTCAACTTCGCGGGAGTCACTGCTTGTGGCAGTTGTTACCACCTCGGTGGCTTTTGGTTGCTCCAGTGTCCTCAAAAATTGTAGGCAGGCTACCATTTCTTCTCGCTCGTTCTGGTTGTTTTCTTTTGCCATTGATCCTATCAATGTTTTCAGGGAAACCGCTTCTCGGCTTGGTGATGGCTGTGGCATTTGTTTTTTCTTATTTCCTGCTTGCTTTTTTGGTATCGAGTTACCAAATTTTGTAGTCAGTGCGCTGGTTCTTGCTGCTTTTGCTTGATTGTGATGAAATTATGCACAACTACCGATATGAAGCTGATGAGTTTTTATAATTCAAATGTGTTCTTGCGTTATTTCTTAGAATTTCAGATCTATACTACTATCCAGTTTGCGTTTTAAACTTTCAAGTTGGCTTTTATGTCTAAAGTACGCGGTTTTCATTCTAATTGTTATTTACTCTTATGAGCATATGCACCACGTTGACTTGTGGTGATAACATTACCTAGTTGACTGTTTGTACCTTATTATTACAATGTCATTCAGAGTTATTCGTTTTTCCTTGCCTCCGCTTTCGTGACTATTAGAAGCGTGGAATCGTTGGGTTGTCCATGTGTTTAATTGCATACTTAGAATTTGACTTTTCCGGTTGTGAGTATTGTAGTGGATGTGAAATTTTTGCTGATGATGTTTGTGATGAAATTATGCACCACTTTGACAAAAATGATGACAACTACCGAAATGAATCTGATGCTTTTTGTTTTTATATCTCAAATTTGATTTTGCTCCTTTTTTCTTAGGATTTCAGAGTTACTGATTCATATTACTGACCAGTTTGTGTTCCGAATTTTCAAAATGATTGGTATGGCTAAAAGTACGAGTTATTGGTGTTAAATGTTGTTTACTGTGTTGAACATATGCACCACGTTGACTTGAGTGATAATAGTTACCTAGCTGACCTATTTGGTTAGAATATCAATCAGATTATTTCGCTTTTCGTTGTCTCCGTTTTTGTGACTATTAGAAACGTGGAATCGTTGGATTGCGAATGTGTGCACTTGAAAACTTAGTATTTGACTTTTCCGGTTGTGATTATTGTAGTTGATTGGAAATTGTCGCTTTTGCTTAATTGTGATGAAACAATCCACCACTTTGACAAAAATGATGTTAACTACCGATATGAATCTGTTGGTTTTTTTTTACAAATCAAATGTGTTTTTGCTAGTTATTTCGTAGGATTTCAGAGTTAATGGTTTATGTTACTGTGCATTTTGTGTTGCAAACTTTCAAGTTGGCTTTCATGGCTAAAGTACGCGGTTTTCATTCTGATTGTTTGTTACTGTGATGAACATATGCACTACACCACGTTGATTTGAGTGATAATAAATACCTAACTGACTTTTTTTGTTACAATATCAATCAGATTATTTCGCTTTTCTTTGCCTCTGCTTTTGTGACTATTAGAAGCGTGGAATCGTTGGATTGTCCTTGTGTGCACTTGAGTACTTAGAATTTGACTTTTCCGTTTTCCTGTTTTGTAGCTGATTGGAAATTGTTGCCTTTGCTTGTTTGTGATAAAATTATGCACCACTCTGACAAAAATGATAGCAAAAACCGAAATGAATCGGATGATTTTTATTTTTTATATTTCAATTTTGATTTAGCTACTTTTTTCTTAGGATTTCAAAGTTATCGATTTATAGCGCGGACCAGTTTGTGATCCGAACTT